AATTATCACACACTCATGGATGACCACTATGAACTATAAATACCGTGCAACCTCTGCATGTTTCAACCGTATCTGTGCACGATTATGACTATGTTACCATCACCGGTTCCTGACGGAATCCGAAACGTCAGGACAATAAAACTCTTTTTCCGGTGATTGCTTCTTCTTCTTCTTCTGGACTGCTTCCTGGAACTCGCATATTCATCTCTATTGATCTGAAGGGTCACTTTCTCGAACCGTACCTAGCATAAGCAATCGCTCTCAGACACTCGAGTCAGTACGCTCGCTTTGCGGGAAAGAACATGGTTGCGGCTTATTTGCATATGTTGAGCCGTGCTGACCAGATAACCATTACGTGGGCTTGTGAAACACCCGTGTGACTGTCTGTGAAACAGCCTGTCCAATAGGGAGGCAATGATTTACACTCTGCTTTAGCCGGTATTAAGAACCCAAATTGTGCACCTGCCTTTACACCAAAAGAGGCCTGGTTTAGAAGAAATATCCCAAAACACCTCCTTGGCAAATATGATGACCGATTCAAAATCTAGGGAATTTGAGGCCAAAATTCTTGCATCCACAATGTCCATCGAACTTGAAAATGCCGTCATCGATATAAGCATGGATGCTCTCGACCGGTCCCCACTCGAGGGCAAGTGTGCAGCCCATATTAAAAAGATCATGGACCAGAGATACGGAGCCGCCTGGCACTGTTTAGTGGGCAAACACTTCGGCAGGTATGCATATATTGTTCATCTATATATATAGCACTCGTTTATCTTTACTCGAACAGCTCACATGCAATTACTAAATTATTCCCCTTTAAATGTACGAAAATTCCCATTGAAAATTTCAGAAGATAAATTGGAAAAAAGACGTTCTTTTTTGATAAATGTTCATCAGGCCCGTACATTTATATCGTAGTTAACTAAATAAACTATGTGGGTTGGTAGAAAAAAGTGTAGTTGTCAGGGCAGGTGGGAAGAGGGGCTAATCGGGGTCAAAAGTCTGATCAGCGTTAAGGGAAAGTGGTAGTCGAGAGGGGTGATGGGCTGCGGACGAATTTTGGCCATGGTAACTTCGGTGGCGTTACGAGGTACTTTTGGGCGCATAGTACCGGTCGGCGTAGCCCGATGGCAGCCGCTTCTGCCGTAGCCAACAGACGCTGCCCAAGGTATTTTGAATAGCTTGATGGCACCTTGTAGATCACTCAGAATGCCTCGCTAGCATCCCCGGGGAGGTCTGAGTCTACCAGGTGCGTTCGAATGGAACTGATTTTACCCTCTATTTGACCCTTCCTAATTATAATGGAATGCATTCTCGTTCTCTTTTGGACAAACGCTGGCCCATGAGACCAATATATGCTGCCCACAGGAGCAAGTGAATGAACAGATGCACGTTGATGTGATCTGGACTGGCATCCCTGCATCATTTTCCGCATGGCTTATTCAGTTAGTTACGATATAAATGCACAGGCCTGACCATAATTTATCGAAAATAAACGAATGTTTGCCAATTTATCCTCTGAAGCTTTTCATTGAGTAAAGTAAAATCAACATTCCACTTGTACGGAAAATAGCTTTTATTGTAACACTCAACCTTTCCAACGATATTTGGCCTCGCCTCTTCTTGACATGCTGTTTATTACTGTCCTTGGGTAGTAACAACAGTTTGCTTAGAAAATTAGATCCTTTATATTTTCAGTCTGATTTCGGAACACGTGAGGTATGAAGACAGTGCAAAATGCAGACCTGCACTGTCCCTGGTTCGCATTGCTTACGTTCTAAAGTTTGCATAAGAATACTAGGACTAGAATTGCTCATCGCATCATTCACACTTTACGCACTTATTTCAGGGCAGCTTTCATGCAGACGTATAGTTCGAGAAGGTACCGGTCTGGTTAAT